CATCTCTACAATAAATCAAAAATCAGCCGGGCGTGGTAGCATGCGCCTGTAGTTCCAACAACTGGAAGGCTGAAGCGGAAGGATCGCCAGAGCCCAGCAGGTCGAGGCTGCGGTGACCGGGAGCGGCCGCTGCACTCCAGTCTGGGCGACAGAGTGAGACTCCAACTCAAATGAAAAAAAAAAAAAAAGAGTTAAAATTTTTCAAAAACGTGCACCCACACAGAACGTGCATGTCAAGAGAAGTGGAAACCAACACAAAGATGCGTGGTAAATCCTAGCTGCAAAAAGCGAACTGCCGAACACGGCGAAGCTGCACCGCTCCGACACTTTGGTTGTGTCATTTCTCCTCCTGTCTCTGCTGGGGTGAGCTCAAGTGTTGTGCGTGCCCACGTAAAGGGCTGTATGATGCTGACCATCTCCACGTGAGCTGCTCATCTCTCTCGTAATTTATGTCTCACATTAAAGAGTGATGTCTCACGGTTCTTGCATATTTTTCATCGTGTTTATTGTAATACTGTGAACCTCGCATAACACCATGGACGCCATACAAAGTGCCAGTCGCGATGCCAGAAGCACGCCCAAGAAGCACAGTCTTGACATCACAAGGAGACGCGAAGCTGCTTGATAGCTGTCATGGACTGAGGTCTGCAGCTGCGGCCACTCAGCATTTCAGTCAGCTGGCTCATTTCCAAAATGGTGAAACTAATCACAAGGGTGAGATTGGTGGGATTACAGATGAAGCAAACTTAGGGATTCACTAAGAACCGGAGAGTGCTGCAAGTGCTTTTCTCTTCCCTGTGATTTTCCTATAACATTTTCTTTTTTCTACCTTACTTCATGGTAAGGATGTTATATGTAATATAAACAACTTACAAAATATGTGTTAATTGACTGTTTATGTTATTCACAGGGCTTCCTTCCAGTCAACAGTAGGTTATTAATAAAGATTTTGTCAAAAATTATGCTAATCCCAGCACTTTGGGAGGCCAAAGGGAATAGACTGCCTGAGCCTGCGGTTTCGAGACCAGCCCAGGGCAACGTGGCGTGATGCCATCTCTACAATAAATCAAAAAATTAGCCGGGCATGGTCGTGCGTGCCTGTAGTTCTGGCTGCGTGGAAGGCTAAGGTGGAATGATTGCCTGAGCCCAGCAGGACGAGGCCGTGGTGGCCGTAAGAGTGCCACTGCCTGCCCTCCAGCCTGGGTGACAGAGTGAGACTCCAACTCAAAAATAAAGGTATACTAGAATTTTCAACTATGCAGGGGGTTGGCACCCCAATCCCCACATCGTTTAGGGTCAACTGTACACACACACATACATATACACACACACACACACACACACACACACACACACACACATAAACACACATATTCGTATCAGTTAAAAACTAATCAAAGAAAATAAGAGGTACTAATGATCAAAATAGATTTTAAGACAAAAAGTAATGTTGATTTTAAAAGATCATTTTTTTAATGACAAAAGATCACTTCCCCTAAGATTAAAATAATTCTAAATCTGAGAGCACATAACGTGTTCTAAACATTTACAAAATGGAATCTGGTATAATTACAAAGAGAAATTGAAAAATCCATAATTACAGAGAACAAATTATTATTATAACTCATGAACTAAGACCAAGTAGATAAAAAAAAAATCTAAGGATGTAAAAATATTAGTGAAATATTTAACATTATCTATTAGACATTCATAGAACCCTTATTCCAACATTGAAAGAATAGAATTCTTTCCAAAAACTGAACATATATTAACCCTCAAAGCAAGTCTCCACAGATATCAAAGAGTTAAAATCATATAGAACAGGAATAAGATGCTTTTTAAAAGTAACATTCAGTAAACACAAAAGGAGTTCTTAGAATTGAAATATGGCAGAATAAAAAACTCAGTGGAATGTGCGGAAGATAAGATTGAAAAAAAAACCTCTCAGCAAGTAGAACGAAAAGACAAAAATGTAGAAAGTAAAAGGGAAAAGCTAAGACTATTAGAACATCAGTCTAGGAGTTCTAACATTCCCAAAATAGGGATTCCAAAAAGAGAAAACAGAGGCTCTTGGGGGGAAAAAAAAAACTAAGACTGATACCCAGTGACTCAAGAGACAGACATGGTAAGATGGGTCACGGCCAGGATGCCTGCTCACATCATGCTAGCTTCTAGCCTGAATAGGCAATCCCAGGGGAACTTGGCTGAGACGCTTATTTGTGCTTCACTCGTCATGACCTTGAGATGAAGAAGGTGCTGCTATCTCTTCCATGCCGGCTACAGCAGCCCCCTCCCCTAACAGTATTCCTGCTGGACACCCAGTGTCCAGCCCACACTAGGATCTTGCCACATACTCTGGCTCTGGTGAACCCATGTTTCCTGGGACATATTTGTGACCCAGCATCTCTGACTTCCCCAGAGAGGCTTTTAAGACTGTCAAGAACTCATACTCAGACTCTGACCCAAAGATTCTACTCGGCTTATTTTCTTCTGGAAACATTGTCCTTTCATGAGAACGCTATTTCTGAAGTTTTATGCATATGAAGGACAGAACGCGAAAGAAACGCAGGGTCGCAGGCAACATTCAAGGAAGGATGGCACTTGGAGAAGGGGTAAGAAGGTGGGAAGAGTGGGCTGTCACATGATAAGAGTTCTACTTCATGGAGAAGTGGCATGCGCATGGGTGCTAGCTGGATCACTGCTGTTTAACTCGCACGTGTAGGTAAGACTTCATACATCCTTAAGGCTTATGTGACATTTAAACTTCCTTTTGAAAGAGTGTGACCAGGTAGAGCATATCCCAGTATGACATTTTGACGTCAGAAAATCAAATCCTTCCACACAAATGTATGAGAACGTCCAGGAAGCTGCCATTTTTGTTAAGCGGGAGCCACACCCTTGGAGCACATGTCCATTGGTCTGGTGAACGCCGGTGTGACCAGGCAAAGAGTTCAGAGTGAGTTAGTGAATGTGGTAGATTCTAGTACTATTCCAAATATTCACTGCTCTTCTCTGTGAGAGACTGATACCTCCTACTCCATTAAAGGTCAATCTTGGCCATGAACGTGCTCTAGCAAATAGAATCCAAGTGTCAGCAACATGTACCATGCCCAAGCGGACTCTTCACCCACGGTCTACCACGTTTCTGCCCCCCAGGACACACCCCAGACTCCTCCACTTGGAGGAGTCCTCCAGGCTGGATCCTGGAGTTGCCCTGACCAGCGACAGACAACGATGTGGGCGAGATGGACACCTTTGTTGTTGTAAGCTGAGTTGCCTAGGGTTGTTGGTTGGATTAAGCTCCAGTACACTGCTCGAAAACTCTGCCCTGAAGAAAGGGAGAAAGCTGAAGCCTCTAAGGTTACAGCTTGTGAGGAAAGGATATAGCGACTCCATCTAAGGCCTGGGTACATTGAGAGGCGGAGATGAACACTAGACTGAAAATCCAGGTTAGGGAGGAGAATGACAGTACGAGGGATCCCAGGTAGTGGAAGAGTATGTGATCCAAGACCCAGGGTAAGGGTGGGTCTCAGGGGTGAGAGAGGACACACCGTCAAAGACAGTGACGGAAAGAGAGAACGGATGAAATAGAGTTGGCAGGAGGAAACGCAAGCACACAAGAGAAACGTGGTCCCAACTTTTGACAAGGATAGACGTAAGAACAACTGTTAGGAGTGAGAGGTGGATGCGGGCCAATACCGCCCGGAGAGTGAGGCTGGGTTGGAAGAGCCACAAAGTCTACAAGCTCGTGGATGCTTGCTCCCTGAAGCTATCAGTGAGGTGATGACTCAGCTATTTACTGAGTAATCCCAGCACTTTGGGAGGCCAAGGCGAGTGGACTGCCTGAGCCCACAGGTTCAAGACCTGCCCAGACAATTGGCGTGAGACCTCATCTCTACAATAAATCAAAAACTAGCCGGGTGTGGTAGCGCGCGCCTGTAGTTCCAGCTACTCGGTAGGCTGAGGCGGAGGATCGCCAGAGCCCAGCAGGTCCAGGCTGTGGTGGCTGGGAGCGGCCACTGCACTCCAGTCTGGGCGACAGAGTGAGACTCCAATTCAAAAAAAAAAAGTTACATGGGATTACTATTGGTTGTATATTTATATGATAAAAATGAAGAGATCGTTTGCCTTCTTCCTAGCTTGTATCTGCATAAAGCCCAACTGGCCTGAGAACGGTTTTATCAGTATTTTGAGGAAACAAATACAAAGACAATATTTTCAAGAACACTGAAAACAATTTTTTCTACATATTGTACAGTGAGTGAGCTGCTATAACCTGTTAAAAATAAACTTGAAGGCCAGGCACGGTGGCTTACGCCTGTTATTCCAGCAATTTGGAAGGCCAAGGCGGGAAGATCGCTTGAGCCTAGGAGTCTGAGACCAGCCTGGGCAACATAGCGAGACCTCGTCTCTACAAAAAAAAAAAAAAAATTTCAAAAAATTAGCCAGGTATGATGGCACGCACCTAGAGTCCCAGTTACTACTCAGGAGGCTGAGGTGGAAGAATCACCTAAGCCCAGAAGGTGGGGGCTGCAGTGAGCTGTAATCGTTTCCACTGCACTCCAGCCTGGGTGACAGAGGGAGATTCTAACAGATAAATAAATACAACTTTAATAAGGTATACCATGTTTTTCAGGTTTATGTAAGTTTCTGGATGTTTACAGATTAGACATTAAGCTACTTCTGACAACATGTGGATCGAACAGGCAAATTAAAAGAATAAATGATTTGGAATAAGTATAGTTCAAATTAAATTTGACCACAGGATTTACTGAACCTTTTGCTACCAACCGTATTAAAATAATCCCTCAACGGAACAACTCAGATCCTGGGTTTCAGATCCGTTCAAGCTCGCCAGGATCTTACGAAATTGTGACGTGTCTTTATGTGAGGCATTTTGCATGCAATTTCCCCAAACCCTATGGCCACCGTTCTAGAAAGCTGACAGTGAAACGTGATCTGTGCTAAGTCAGTGAAAGGAAACCGCCTGCCAACATCACCGTGGTGAAGAGAGGGTCCACGCCATCAGAAGCCGTGGTTGGACGGAATCTTCTCCTTCTCCACGTCTCAGGCCTGCTTTCTCTGGCAACCTTTCCACTCGGGGAAAGAGGCGGCGGCGGGATGGGCATCATGAAGCTGCTAAGTCTGGGGAGCTGGAAGGGATTCCGCCTCTGGGAACTGCCCGGGGAGGTCCTGAATCTCGCCGCGGCCTTCTTGCCCTGCACGAGAACCAGAAACAGAACCAGGCGTGCCTGCGGCCCAAAGGCAGAGACCAGCCTGCAGGATCGACAACTGGCATCCACAGACAAAGGGAAAACACTCCAGTCAGACTGCCGGAAAATTCGGCACTTTGTAGTATCCAGAGCAAATTAAGTGTTCATAAATTTATCTGCCCTTGGAGACGGAGGATCTAGGATCCCGTTGGTGCAGCTTGATGGCTTGCTCTTATGCATACATTTTGAAAATTATTCTTTAAACAGATAATAGAGGCATGTGGCTTAAAAGAAAACCATAAAAGTTGCAAAAGGATTTGTCTCTTTTTAAATTTGCAAGATACTGTATCAGCACCAAATAGTTAAAATTTTGTTTATTTGAATATCAAAAAGAATTCATAAATGACTAAACTTACGTAGTATATTTTTAAACCAATACATAGTGATGGTACTTTTATAGTACTTTGGGGATTTTTTTCCCCTCAATTATCCATTAAATCTATGGGGACCTAGCGCAATGAAAGAATTTAAAATCAAGAAGTTTGAAGAGTGAGAGGGCTGAATAGTCCATTGAGCAATGGACTTTTCATATTGGTATTTTTTTCATATTCTGACTTCACACATTCAGATTAGAATACTCAGGGTTCGCAGGGCTGTGAACAAATTGGCGATCTTCTGTATTATTTGGAGTAAACTATAACTACTTTTGTGGAGGACAAATTAAAATATTTATCAAAATTTTAAGATGCATGCCCTTTTACCTAGAAATGGCATGGGTAGGAACAAATCCTATACAGATAACTACACAAGTTCAATAATATAAATGTTTACAAGAATACATGCACACGCTCATATATTTGGTTGAACCATCAAAAAATGTTACATCCTAAAAGTCCATCAACAGTAAGATATTTAACTGAATTTTGCATAGTTCATGACATAGAGTCTCACCAGGCTTAAATATATGTATATATGAGTCTATTTATCCTGACATGAAAAGTTCCACTCAGTATGATCAAGCATTTCTTATAAATAATTTACATGTGAATTTTGATTTGGAAAATAAGAATGACTGAAAGAACTCAAATGTGGGGTCACCTTTGGGGATATACCTTTATAATATTTGAAAGTTTAATCAACTTGGATTACCTTAGTCATTAAAAAACAACAAAAGTATACTCAATAATTATATTATATTTATGAGGTATATTTGAGTCCCTGAATTTTCCAAAATTTTTGTAAGCATTTTAAAATCTATTTTATAGCAATTTTTTATACTTTTTTAATTTATATAATATACATTTATATTATGCCTATATTTACCTTTTCTAACTAATTTTCCACCAATTTAGTCTTTACATTGAGGTACTTATTAGTGAAAAGTTATTTTTTAAGAGGAGAACTTATTCTCTAAACATTTCTCATTGCCAAATGAGTTAAATGAAAGTATGTGCAGACCAAACTTTGAGTAGAAACATCTATGTGAATAGAAAGAGATTTATAATTATAATTATAAACCAAGGCGTTTATAATTGTTAGAATGGTTGATATTCATGGTCTTATTTTTCTTTTCTTATATGTTTCAATTTTTTCTGTTGTGAATGCATTGATACTATAATAACAAATAAAAATAGGTTTAAAATGATAGGAACAATCTGCAACTCTTTGGGTTTAGGGATTGTTTTTGAAATTTACTTCCGAGTAGGTATCAATCAATCACATGCCTTATTTGTAAATGGCTTAATAAATTTTTTAAAAATTAACATGTAGTTTCTTCCCTTTCTTCACCTCCTCCCCCCAACCCCAAAATAGCACCTTGGACATCTTCCCATGCCAGCACAAATCATTCTACCTTTTCTTTTTTTTTTTGAGTTGGAGTCTCACTCTGTCGCCCAGGCTGGAGTGCAGTGGCAGGCTCACGGCCACCGCAGCCTCAACCCACGGGCTCTGGCAATCCTTCCGCCTCATCCTTCCAGGTAGCTGGAACTACAGGCGTGCGCTACCATGCCCAGCTAATTTTTTGATTTATTGTAGAGATGAGGTCTCACCAAGTTGCCCGGGCTGGCCTCGAATCCATGGGCTCAGGCAATCCACTCGCCTCAGCCTCCCAAAGTGCTGGAATGACAGGCTGAGCCACCAAGCCTGGCCTCTACCTTATTTTTTAAAGTGTATTTTAATGTACTATAACATATTTAAATTGTAAATACTTAGGTGTTTTCTAATTGTTCACTATTGAAAATATGACAGTGTGAAATATTTTAAAATCTATTTACACATATGTGTTTATTTCTAGGATACATGTGTGTATATTAAAATGCTTGAGCGTATTCATTTAAAATGATGATAGATATTCCTATATTGCCTTCACAAATACTTGTACCAAATTCTACTCCTATCAATAATATCTGAGAAACTCTTATTCTAAAGATACTCATTCTCAAGTCATTATTTTTACTCAGTTGCACCTCAACCAGTCTGTTTTTGACCAAATCACTTTTGCCTAAAGTAAACCCTCTCACTCCTGATACTTAGCAAAGTTCAACCTGCTTATATCAGTTGCAGCTTCAAATACTTCCCACATGCATATTATTTACTCTTCATGAAAAGCAATAAGAATGTATTATGTATTCACCATATATTCAGCAATCATGCAACTACTATTCTTCTTTAAGAGTTTACCTGATTTTATATTGAATCATTTCATCATCAATGCCACTGAAAAAAATTACATGTAAAAACAATATCATAGTACATTTTGACTATGCACATTACACTATAAGCACCTGTAAGTTACTTTTGTCTGTCTTAATGCCTGGAGCAGTACCTAGCCCATAGTAAGTGCCTCTAAAATATTTTCTGAATGAAAAGTGAGTTTAGCTAGTTGAAGTTAACATGGAACTGATCTCAATCTTGTCAGCACATGAGAGTTACCATTAAGTGCCAAGCCCTCAATAATCCATGCCCCCTCAAAACTTGGAAACAGTAAAAGAAAGACCCTGTGTAGATTCGTTAATTATTCCATCCAGTGGCTCAGAGCACATTTGGAAAATCACCCAGAAGGGGGAAAAAATGTCACTCCCCAGCCAGTAACATTTGAATATTACCTAACTGATGATATTCACATATCTAAGAAGAAAATGTATCATTCAAAATATAATTAATAAAGCCGGGCTCGGTGGCTCAGCCTCTAATCCCGTGCCTTTGGGAGGCTGAGGTGAGTGGATTGCCTGAGCCCGCGGGTTCAAGACCCGCCTGGGCAGCGAGACCTCATCTCTACAATAAATCAAAAAAAAAAAATCAGCCGGGCGTGGTAGCGCATGCCTGTAATTCCAGCTACTTGGAAGGCTGAGGCGGAAGGATCGCTGCAGCCCAGCAGGCGAGGCTGCGGTGGCCGGGAGTGGCCACTGCACTCCAGTCTGGGCGACAGAGTAAGACTCCAACTCAAAAAAAAACAAAAACAAAAACAAACAAACAAAATATAATTAATAATTATAGAAATTTAGAAAAGATTATAGTTACTTTGGCAAACATGAAAAGTGCCGATCCAAGTACTATCTACGGGAGAGGAGATCCTATCCATTGAACTTTGAATATTTCCAGTCCTAATGGCAATGTTATCCCTGGAGGAGACAGAGGGTTTTAGCCAAAGACCTTTGAGTTTGCTGGTACCTCTGGCTAGCCCATTCCTAGATGAGAGTGCCTCAGGCCACCTTAGCCTGATTCCATTCGCATTCCAGTACACTTTATCCCTTCACCCAGATTCCACACTCACTAGGCAACAGACCTGTGATGTGGCTTCTCATGCAGGTCTGCCCTCAAGGGGAGAATGTACCTCTTCTATAAGCCTTGACTGCTGGGCAGCTCTTGGTGAATGAAGGCCCCTGATTATGATTTAGTTACCTGCTTTTGTTCATTTTACACAGAAAAATGAACTCATTGTGAGTTATTTCAGCCAGCCTGAGACAATCTGTCAGGACATGACCACTCCTGGACACCGGCTGAAACGAGAACTCGCTGGGCTTTCGAAATGGAGACCGGATCCTAGAAAGTGTCCAACTAATTGACGTTTGACACAACATACGCCTGCCTAGCTATCTTCCCTAAATAAAGCACCATCATTTTTTATTAATTAATCCTGCTTTCTGGGAAACTACTATTAAACTAACTGAAATAAGGTTTGTGAAAAGTATTTCACCAGCTGAAAAGCACATGAAGCGGATTAAAATATTATTTTTTAAGAGTTAAATTTATACTTTTGCTGTGCAGTACAATCACTTGTTTGAGTTGATTTCTTAATGCCAAGGTTATTAGTTAAAAATAAAAAGATCTTAATTTTATGTCCTGTGTTTCCTAATAAAAAGTAGAATATAATTCACCCCCTAAACACAACGGCAATCGTACTCCTGACACAGGTTCTTAAGAGATAAATGTTTCTTCGTGATGTTAGAAATATGAAAACTACCCTACCTAATTAGTGAATGTCCTAATTCTTCCTCCTTGCTTAAGAAACTCCTGTCTCATGGTTACCATACCTCTCTTCCTGTGCTCTATTAAAATAAGCGAAATTACCCAAGACATAACCTTGAAAGGGAAGCAGAGTCAAGCTCAGTGTGTGTGATTAACTCAGCATTTTTTAAAGATGGACAATCTTTTCCTTCTATATTCAACCTTCTAGAAGTCAAACTTGAAGCAATTTCATACACTGATGGGAAAGTAAGTCGGCATGCAAATGCAAACCTATTCTCAGAAAGTTTCACATTCTAGGTTTCATGCATTTAAAATTTGGAAGGAGTCAACACTGGGTGTTTTCTGATAGAAGTCATCTCTGGCTAGGAAAAGTCTATCTTCCTTGTTTTTCAATCAGCCTTTCAAATTAATGAGAAATCATCATGCATTATTTAAAGACCTATCCCTTACTTTTTAGCCAATGACACAGCAACTACAGCCCTTCCAGTCTGAGTAAGATAGAATTAATCCAAACTACATAGAAATTACTTCAGAAATGCACAATATAAATTTCATTGTGTGGAGTAATTGAATACAGCATCTTAAAAACTGTGATAACTGAAAATTCTAATCAACAATGAAAAGATATCTCTTGAAGAAAATAACATTTACCGCAACAGGAAATGGAGCTTCCTTTTCCAGCAAAGAGACTTTGGACCTGGACCCTGAAGTTATCTTTGGAACCGTCCCTACTGCAGGATGACTGAGAAGAGGCTGCAATCGGATTGGAGGCTGCATATTTCCTGGGGCGGTATATGGTCGAGGAGTTGTCTAGACAATTAGGGGGGGAAAATTCCACTTAAATTAGTACCATGACATGTTTTCAGAGCCAATTAATAACCCAATAAATTGCCTAGAGTAATTAATGGTGCCTTTTTACTGAACATATTAAACTTTAATTATGTCCTTCCATTACACATACCCTTATGACCCAAAGTATTTGTTAAAACATATGGTGTTGGAGTCCTCTATATAACTAAACGCCACAATTACAGAGTATTCTAGGCAAAGAAGATGTCCCCTCTTGCATTCCTGTATTTTTATTCACACTGTAAACTCACAGACAATACCTAATTTATGTTGTGCACAGAATGGCTTTGCCCAATTAAATGTTAAATTGAATAATGGTCCTCTTTTAGGGGTCTGAAGGAATATTATCGGGGTGGACTCATTTCTGTTGCTATGTTTCCCATGTGAGCTCTACTCTGAACATTTTAAGCCTTAAGACTGGCCAGAAGTAAAAGCAGACAATATGACATAAACAGAAGGGGAGGGCTGGGCGCTTAACTGCAATGCCCTACCATTTATCTCATTGCCTCCTTGAAATATTAAGAAAATGTACCTGGAAACTCTGGAAAACACCATACGGAAATGATATGCTTTCCAAACTGGGCACCGCCACTTGTCCCTCAAGATCTGCTTTACACCTCCCTCCTGCCTTGGGCTCTGGGAGTCACTCCGCTATCACTAACCTCAGGATGCCAGTTGATGGTGCCACCTATGAGAGGCACTAGCAGGAGATGAAGCATGGGAGGTCTTTGCCTACTGGGCTCCTGCCCACCGGGTCCCTCCACCAAGGCCCATGGGTCCTGCTGGAAAGGCTGTTCCCAGTGACAGGAACCAGCTGCTGGTTCCAGCATCCAACAATCCCTCTTTCCTCCTCCGAACTAGATGCTGTGGCTTCCCCATGTGCTGGCCCAAGTGAGTGTGCTTAACTTCCCAAGCTGACTTTCCTTAACCCTGCCTGCTTCTTTGTAAATAGTTTCTTTATTAAACACCTCCTAATGACCCTATTTGTGTGAGCCATCTGTTTCCTGCTGAGCCCCTGATAGATGCAGCTTCCAATCAAGAAAGTAAGGCTGCGATGTCCACAAGCACCAGCATGGAGCATTAGAAGTGCCTTTGGGGGCATTAACAGGACATTGTAAGTTCGGGATAAAGATTAGCAACGTGTCAAAAGTGGAAAAAATGAGCTTTCGGCCCAAATTGCTCTATTACAAGAAGAGAGCAGAAAACCCGTCAAGAGTAGTACATATATATTTGGGTAAGAGTGTGGAGAAGATGGTATATAAATGACTTGTGAATCATGCTGTGACGGTAAAGAATACTGAACAACAAATATTCAACTCCAAAAAAGTATATGTAAATACATAAAATATAATGATAAGGCCACTCTTACCAAAATCTAGCCTTATTGGCATCTTGAGAAACTTGTCATATGAGAGGGGACCCCAAAAAACCAAAATTCTCTTTTTGGAGGGTGGGCTTCTTGTAGTCCAGGCTTCCCCCACTACTTAGTGTTCTAGGAACCCATCAGCATCAGTGAACCAACTAGTGTTGCTGTGAAAGGCTGCATTCGGCTTCAATGCTTTTTTTTTTTTTTTTTTTTTGGAGATGTTTTCAGTGCATTTACCCATTTTATGATGGGTGATTTACGAGCTCATGTGCCCACACCGCACTGAATGTTCAGCAGTTTTTGACCAAAAACAGTATTGACCCCTGTGGCCTACCCTTCCTATTCACCCTGTCTTGTCCCAAGCACCTTTATTTCCTTTCCCTGGATGAAAAAATTCCTCAGAGGGAAATGTTTCATAGATATGGAAGAGGTGAAACAAAAAATGACAGAAGCCCTAAAAGGTGTCAAAATCGATGAGTTCAAAAACTGTGTTGAGCAGTGGAAAAAGCATCTCAATAGTTGTATTGAACTGAGAGTAATTTGAAGGTGACTGAAGTTTAAAATATGAGAAAAAATACATAATTTTTTATGACTAGATTCCGGTACTGGGGGCACCCCCCATATGTTGCTAAATCTCTGCCTTTGTTAAGTTAACATTTATTGAATCACCACCATAGGCCCCATGAGGAGACAAAAAGTAATTTTTAACATCTAATGACAGAACAAGACAATTAGTATCAAATGAACCACACACATATTGTCAAACAGACAATCGCAACAAAACACCTGAGAACAGAACTTAGAGGCTAATAAAATTAAAGCTTCACAGAAGTAGTTAGATGTTATCCAAATGGCAAACAAGAGAAGAAAATGGATGAGCAGAAAAGAATGATAAATTTGAACATCCAAGGACGAAGAGAGCTGGTGGTGAACAACGATGATGTTCCCCAATATTTGCTGTCTTATCTTCACTAGTAATGAAGTTTATCTGGGAACATGGCTAGCGTGAATAAAGTTTCGGTTTCCCAGCATTCCTTGTAGCCCTGTGTAATGTATGCCTCGGTTTTGGCCAATAGGATGAGAGAAGTGGTACACGAAACTTCCAGATCATGCCCTTCGAGAGAAGAAGTATGGCCTCACTTTCTCTTTTGCCCTCTCCTTCTGGTTCAAATATCCACACAGTGGTCCACCATCTTGGCTTTTATGGATGAAGGCAACACCCGAAGTTTGGCAGATCAATAACACACGGAGGGGCTGGGCCTTTGATGACCTCACAGAGTAGAGATAGCACACCAACTGAGACTCATGTACGTCTGCTGGGGTAGAGGGGCCCTTATGTGTATGCCATTGTTTTGGGGGGGGGTCTCTAGACACAAAACTATATCACAACCAATACAGAAAGCCAAGTGGATTGACGAGAGCAGCATTTTGATATAAAGAAACAGGAGATAAGCCAATAGGCACCAAATGGTAAAACGGTCTTAAAATCCACAAAGAGAAATTAAGCTAGGGGTTTCCGAACAAGAAAATCAGATCACCCAAAGTATTCTTGTGAACTCTGTAAACCAAACATGCCTTAAGACTTTTTTCTGTCAAATAACGCAACTGAACACACACACACACACACACACACACACACACACACACACCCTACAGAAACCCTGAAAAGTTAAAGTTTAAGAAAGTGGGTGACTGCACACTAGAACATGAGCTGTTGGCTACTGGTCTCTAAACTCTACTTTCCCGCATTTGTATATACACATCATTCAGTTAGATGAATGTGGCAGTCAAATGTTTAACTGATTACATGTGTCTCTAAAAACGAACCTGCACCATTCACTAACAGCTGTGAGCTACGAACTGTTGTAGTTCACGTCAGAAGGCACCTTACATTTGCTATCTTTTAAATTGTTCGTAATATATTTCCTTGGAATGAGTATGGCACATAGCTGAACGTTCTCAAATGTACCAGTATATGAATTGAAGTTGACTACCTGGTGATTACTCAGCTTAGCTGGGCATTTCTAATTTTTAGTGGAAGATCTGCGGGGTTGAATGTTCCAAACATGCGCAAGATACATTGAAATGGCTTTCCACAATGTCAGTGGGCGTGGTGTGGCTAAAAGCCTGAATGCTGTTTTGAAAGTTTAGGTGCAATTAGTGACCAAGTGCATTAACATTGCGCTAGATGTTTTCCTTATTCACTCAAGAAAGTTTAAAAAAAAAAAATCAGTGGCAATATTCCAAAAGGATTATTATCTTCGTCCCAGTAGCACTTGAAGGTCATGAGTCCAATTTAAAGAATATGCATCCAGGTTGGAAAAACACAAAAGGAGATGTGGACTTCTGTAAAGTGGGAATTCTCATTTCAAGATCATAACAGGCATCCCTTGAAGTGCAAAAGTACCATCCGGTTGACCAAGGGAAGGATCCTGGCTTCCCAGAGAGACAGCTTTCGAAGCGCTGGTGTCAATGTTTCCTGTAATTTTTAAATTACTTTCTCACTCCTGCCACATTAAGATCTCCTGGATGTATCATAAACTATTTATTGAGGGTGTTCAGCTGGAAAATTGAAAAGAAAGCCTTTCAAGGATTTTTCCTCTCTGAAACAGGTGGGAAGACAGAAAACAGCACTTGATTGTTTCTTTTGTTTCACCCAGGGTAGGCTTTTGAGAGTCTAGTGAATTTGTCATCCAATAAAAGAATTTTTATACATATACATTCAAATCAAACCTGGAAACAGGGTAACAGCAAAGGGAAATGGCTGCGTTTCATCACTTGAGCTGTTCATCAGGAAGTGTCAAAGCATATTTACCCTCTGAAAAATGTCAAAGCTAACACTTGATGTGATGAACCCACTCCAGCAATCTGAGAAGGCACTGCAATTTCTCCATCAATATTTTAGCAATCCCCCCAAAAAGTTCAAGCTAGCAAGGAAATGTATTAGGCTGCGCATAGCAAGAATAAAGATATAATCAAGCAATTCACTTTCAACTTAAACTATCCACCTCCAGCAAATGTTTTACAAATCTTTGCATGCATTTATACTATTTCAAGGTACCTTAACCTTCTTCACACAAATACCACCTCTAGGTTATAAACGGATCAGGCCAGAATAAAAGATCAGTGTGTTATTTCTTCAAATAGAATTTCTGTACATTTAATCATGCTGAATCTTAGAATATGTGCACATACTTTTAATAAAAGAAGCTCACATGTCGGTATCCAGTCCTACATGCTGTATTTCACAGTCAATGTGTAGAAATGGAACAGCAAGAACAAAACCTAGGGATCAGAAAACATGGTGCGTGCATGGAATGCCTCGCGGTTCGCTTTCACTGCATTGTAGGGTGCTGAAGGGTCATCAAGGTGAAACACTCGGTTTAGCTAAACTGAAGTCATATGGTTCAGGTTCTTAAATGTTACGTGAAAGAGTCTGCTTTTCTATAGGGAATAAAGAACCAGAGAAAGTATCCGAGCATGTAAGTAACACAGGTCGTCTGTACTTGAAGAAAAGGAATCCAGAAGTAACAAGCGAAATGGATTTGGCAGGAGTGATATCGATTGGAAGATGGGACGTTGAGCAGAGACAGAGTTGAGCAGAGGTAAGACTATGTTTTCATTCTGTAGGACTCACACGATTATGCAGACCAGTTGCCAGAGAGCATTCTTTCTGAGGTGAATAAGAAATCATAAATTAATTAGCTGTGATAGCACATGACTCACCATCGCTGATGGACTGGCATGCCTTTCATCAACCAGAACACTATGGTCACGGTTGGTCTTTGGGCCAGCTGGGGGGTGGGGAGACAGGACTGGCATGTTACTCTCAACAGACCGTTGGGTGTGTACTCCCTGGAATAAGAAAGCGATTTAGCAAATAGATACATAGTTTATAATCTAAGTTAGGTTAGTGCCTGCCATGTAAGGGATATTATATGACTAAAGAAGTCTTTACTCCTTTCTTTCAAGTATGTTACTCTTCAGGCTTATCATGGTCATTAGGAAACTTTTTCCACCATGGTCATTGGGATACACTTTCCACAGCTGTGCCAGAGAATTAGGTCTGATTGTAAAAGGCAAGAAATTAATTCTGCTTTAGCTGTACTCAAAGAAATGGCTACAAAAGCCGCATCCTCAGTTTTAGCAATAACACTTATTAAACCGCTTTAAGCAGATCATTACGAAAAGCACAGTGTCCTTCACTATTCAGATCAGTAGACTACCAGAAAGGAGTACTTTTCTTGGAAAATAATTGAAAAAGGCCATTGAGGAAAAAGAGTTCCATATTAAACAAAGGGGACCTAAACATATCTTGCACTAATTGCTGCTATAAAGAGAAAATTTGTACAAATAAAAATCATGTGAGGAAGACCAGGAGCATCTGCAGACAATCTCTGCCAGGGCTCCGATACGCCTATGTGTCCCATGGCCCATCTAGCATTTGGCAATCTGGGCAAGGTAAATAAAGCATAGACACAACAGCTTCCGTGACTTTGGGCAGTGGCAGTCACTATTTTCTGTCACCATTTTTCTCCATCAACATTTCAGCAGATGAATTACAGATTCTATGACTCAGACCTTGATGGACAATATTGGCAAAGTTGGACTAACCACAAATCTCTACACACCAACTCTTTGATCTTGAAAAACGGATCTATCTTCTGTCATTAAAAACATGTGCATAACCAAATTATCTTCTGACCCTGATAAAATAGATTTGAGTCCATCAGGTACAAGGGAAAAATTACTCTCTGAGGGCAAGTTAGTCTACAGAAGCTTCACAAATATTCATCAGTTTGTGAAACATGTCTTGGGACCCACTTTTTAATAGCACAGTACACAGAAATTTAAGAACAACGTGCACATTTGAACGGCTCAAGAAATTGAGTAAAACTATCAACCTAAACTGAAATCTTTCCGATATCGAATCTAATTGAATCTCTCATCTCTTGATTCAAATATATATATTTCATAAGTTTACTGCAAAGAAGAGCTATCAAATACAAAAATAGAAAACAAACTATTAAAATGCCTTGTACAAAGTATGTAAATCTCATCATGCTTTCTTTTGCTAAAAAGGATCTTTTCCACCACGTATCTTCAAGGGTCACATTCACATGAAAGTGTGCCATTGTATAGGTCTTTAAAAGTCCAGTTTTCTGTCACATTGGGAACACTACTGTCTATTTTTTACCTTCTTAAGACTGACAACAAAAATCCTATGGCCTCTATCACAAGAAAATCTAAAGCAAAATTTTAAGCTTAAAAAGAACATTTCCAAGTGTGTCTTTGAAAAGTCTGTGCCTTATTAAAATTTATTTGGCACAAACAACTTCTATTTTTGTCATGATCTTCTGTAATGATCAAGGCCAGTATGTAGGCTTGGTGGAGCTACCATATAAAAAGGACTAGGAATGTCCTTTACCCAAAAGTAAAGAGCCCCAGGGAACTTGAATAATAGTACCACTGTGTTTTTAAAAAATCATAAAATATGATCATGAAGAAAAAGAGAGCTGTGTGTCTCCTTACCTTAAACCTCTGAATTCGCTCCTTCCTAGCTAAGGTCTCCAATTTCTTTTTTATTTCCAGCTGATGGTAACGCTAAGCACACAGGAAAGAATAAAGGAGAGAATCATATCAGTCATAGCCAAGAATTTCTTAAAAGAAGATAATTCCAATAGCTAACTCTATTCCCAATCAACCCTCTTGTCACTGACATCCATGTGCAGGGGGAATACGAATTGGTACTAGTTGGCAATGCCATTCCAAACATATATTAGGCAGTTAAAGACATCCATAACCTTAAACCAGTAAATTTTACTTCTAAACCTGGGGGGACATCAGGATAATTTCGTAAAAATGTTTTATGCACAGAGATGCTGTCTGAAAGGCTTTTCTTTTCTTCAAAACAAAAATGCAGAGGCAATATAAGCTTCAAAGAGAATGGTGACGTTTTTTGCCACATCCATTTGAGGGAATAAAATATGACCCATCATTTAAATAAGGTTCATGCAGATGTTTAAAAAATGGAAAATGCACATCTTACAGGAAAAAAGGATGCAGAATTTCACAGAAATACAGTTTGATTAATCAAGCTTACATTGTGTGTCTGCCCCTGTTCTAGGAAGACGCTTGGCATGCATCATGTCTTCCTGGGCAACTCTAATTGCCAAGCAGGCCCATTTGACAGAGAAACCGAGGCAGGGGAACATGAACTGATCTCACGGCAAACATCTATTCAGTGGGGGAGTTGTCATTTCAACCTTGTTCTATCTGACACTAACTTCCTCCTTGTGGGTTTTTGTTTTTTCACAAAACCACGTCCCTGTCACAACGTAGCATCGTGTTACCAAGGTAGACCGATGAATAGAAAAGAGACCAAAACAATGCATGTCAATAGCAGTTTCAGAGCAGTTGTCTCCGAAATGAGGAATTATATGAGGTTATTTCCCTTTGCCATGCTTTTTTTATTTTTATATCTTTGTATGCTTTGAAAAGAAACCTCACTTTTAAAAAGTCTGCTCACAGTGGCAACTTGAAATCGACACACTTGAGTGTTTTCTTTATGGGCCCTTTGGAAAAAAATGTCTCTTGACACCCTCCCGCTGCCTTCGGGACCCTGCAGATTCCATCATCCCCTACCTAGACATCCGCTTCCTCTTCCTCTGATCTCACGCACTTATCGCCAAGCCATTAAACTCACTGTCAGCCATTCTCTACCTTCTGGTAGTGGCCCTCTACCCCCTGAGGGGAGCGGTGCTTCCCCACCACAGAAGCCGGTTCACCAAGGCCACCCATGCCTTCGTCTTCTGGGTCAAACCTAATCTCCCTTTTCCCCAGTGCTCTTCTGATTCAGTCATTCTGGAGCTTGAGCCAGCCTCCCGGCTCCCAGACTCTACTCTTGTCAGTTTTTCACCCCTCAAAGTTGCTGCATGCTTTTTTCACCCCTCAAATCTTCCCATCCAGCCCCTGTTGCTCCTGATCTCCCATGCCGCACACATTTCCAAGCAGGCTGAGACCTCAGCCTCGCTCTGGTCTCCCTCCTCTCCCTCGCCCCTCCCCGTTCAATCAGCTCAGATCTCTCCCCCGCCTCAGTCTCTCATAGACAGCTGCATTTCCTAGCGTCACCACGACTGCGGTTCCTCCACACCCTTTGGCAATGGTTTCCTAATTGACCTCCCACCTCCAATCTTTTCCAGCTCATTAATCCATCTTCCACATTTTTAGCGGCATCATCTTTCTAAAACAGCTCTGCTCGTTTATTTCACTCCCCCGCTGGAATACGTTTCACCGCCTCATCACCCACACCCCAAGCCTAGCTGGAAGTTCAGGCTCTCCAGGAACTGGGCCCCAGCCTATTGGACAGTGTCACTTCCTGCCACCACTTCCAAGGACCCACTGACCCACTGCACCATCTGGCCTCAGGGAGCTTCCTTTGGGGGGGCCACAAAGTTCTTCCACGTCTCTTCAACCTCACAGTTCCGGAATCCCTTTCCCACATTCTCAGGGGAACTCTCGCCCAGTCTCCCAGTGGCAGGACCTCCACTCAGCCTTCCCTGATTCCAACAGAGGACAGTCATCCTTCCCTTTTTCCCTGAGCTCCTTCTATGTGCTCCTCTCTTCTGACAGTCAGTCATTTTCTACAATATTTTATTATTTTTTAATGGTATCTCGCAGCTACAACACACAGCCTCATACTGGCACGTGGCAAGCTTGCAATTACTGTTTGTTGCATGAGTGAACACATGAATATTAATGCAACAATATTAGTAAGAAGCATCAGCATAGACTAAATGAGAGACAAACGTCACAGTTTAAAGGGAAGTATTACTTATTCTATTCTATGGATGCATTATATATTGTTATATATAAATTGTCTTAATTGGTATCTTACGTACTTACATATTTTAAGATATTTATTTCCAACTTTAAGAATGCACAAAGATTCTGAAATAGCAGCATATTCAACAGTTATGATGCGTCACAATGTGTCATTTCTGTGAGACTTTGAAAAACTGAACTTCAAAGATCAAGGCTAATACTGAACCCGTGCCTCGATTAAGTTTGAAACTAGGTATAGATTAGTTTTATGCTTTACTATTTATTTTTTAATAGAGTTGATGAATTCCAACTAATACTGTCATAAGCAAGTGAATTTGGGGGCCATGATTCTATGTAATTCGTGCACACGAAATAAAGCAAAGAATGAATCCTTAAGTCAACACAGCTACACATCTTACATGAACACTCCACTTGTTCAGTATAATGGCAGCATCACAGTAAATACTTTCAGTGGTGCCACACTTAGTATCGGTTTACTGAAGATGCTATAGTTGTTCATAAATGTTTACTGCACTCACAGGTCACCAGTATCAGGAGTCAAGTTTTCTGATTTACTGCTGTATGGTCAAGCCAAGAAGTGGCATAGTTTTTCCCAGAGATTTAAATGGCGTTTATGCTTGAAACTACACGTTCCATAGAGCAAGGCTGAAATTTATCAGATTAGCTAGACATCCCACTGAAAATGCCCTGTCAGATTTAAAAAAAGAAGTTGTAGATGCTTGAGTTGTGCATCTCTGTTGACCACGATGGCCTCCGCTAGGAGGGACAGCAGATGTTAAAATGCCTATTCCCTGAAATGGAACATACGGCCAAGCTTCAGAGTCTTCAAAGAATAACAGATCTGAAACAATCCATGGCAGTGGAATTACTGATATTTAAACAGATGTCACTTTTTTTAGCACATGGAAATTGAGGTACAGATGGTGAGGGCTGGTATGTTTTAGAGTCGCCATTGTGGATTTTTTAAAAATCTACATTTGGAAAGTTAAATATCACAAAATATATAAGGGTGTTCGTATTTTTCTCCAACCGAAACGAAGAAAAGCTTACGATGGTCTCCTTGCTCCTGGCTACCTAGAGAGATAGAGAGTATTTCTTTGTTTCCTTTCCTTTTGAATAAATACAGGAAGAATTCCTCTGCCTCTGGGCACAAACACATTATTAATGATCCTATTAGAAAATATCAATTATAAATAAAATAGGAATCTCTACCTCCATATCAAGGACCTTATGGAAAATAGCCTGAGCTAAGCACTCCCGGATGTACTTTTGGTGATCTCGCTTCATGATGTTTAGTTGGTATTCTTTTTCAGACAGGATTCTTCCACTTCTTGTGATCTGTCATGAATAAATAAAACATACACAGAAATACAAAGGAGAAAAGATGTTGTCGTCTACCCCAAATAAAGCAGGGGAGAGAGAGAGAGAAAAGGAGGCAAAGAGAGAGGAGGAAGAGAGACAGGGAGATGGGGGAGAGATAGGGAGGGGGGGGGGGAAGAGGATAGGGCTGGGGTGGGAGGAAAGGTGAGGGGAAGTGGCAGTGTCTTCTCAGCCTGAAGGAGATGCCACTATGGCTGATCAACTTTCGCTTTTAATGAATATTTCATAAGGCAAAAAGGAGAAAGGCAGTCTCGTATAGCCATCACTGTGAAAACATTCACAGGTGGTGCACTTGACGTTTAAAACAAGGTTTTCATTAGAGCAGCAATTTTCCCTTGATGGAACCCAGGTGTTCCTTTCTTTTCTCTTTCTGAGCCCTTTCCGGGAAGAAGGGGGTGGGGGGTGACCTTGAAACATGAACAGGAGCAGCGACCACAGGGCCGATGTTCTCACAGGAAATACTTAGAAGGGCAAACACGTGCACGACCATGGATCTCATCGGTTTGTTTTAAAAATAATTGGTTTCATTACTTTGTTTCCCCACTGCTTTTCCTCTTCCTCTCCCCAGCCCTGAATGTAATTTAATTTGTTAGGATTCGGAATTTTACAGATTATGTAGTACCATAGATAGAAGGTATTCGATATTGGTCTCAGTCGGCATCCTTGCAAGTCCCGGGGTTTGGGGGGGCGGTTTCTGTTCTTTGTTTACCCATTTTTCTTGTCTTTGAGTCCTCCTTGTGGGCATGTTTGCTGTGTAATTCTCCATCTCAAGTAAATGCAAGGTGCTTGCCTTCCGGACTGTTTGTCTTCTTGCCCGCTTATTAAACCCTACTCTCCTGTTCAAGTTTAATGCAAGCCGTGCATTTCTTCTTAATTTTTTCCTTAATTTTGCGTACTGTAGTTTTTTTTAACATATTGGAGTATTGAAATCCATGAGAGATATGCAACGAGTGATGGGTAATTGATCATCTTTTTTATAAATGCATTTTCCAATGGAAAAAAGAGGTTGTGGTTACAGAGGGTGTGCTTGGAATTACAAACCACCCAGTTTTTGAACGTGTTGTCATGAGATATCACGTCATGTGTGCCAAACCGGGGGAATGGTTAGAACGTCCTGACTGCCACTCCCTTGGCAGTGAACACCCGTCCTCGCCACGTCTCCCTTGGGCCTTTGTCTGAGCTCCCCAGCTAGAGCAGAAGCTCCCACCAGGCAGAGGTTCTTAAACTCAACCTTGCATCAGGTCACCTGGAGTGCTTGCTGAGAAACCAAGGGCCCCACCCCAGATTCAAGGACACATGGTCTGGGCAGGGCTCTGCGTTGGTCAGCACTTTCTAACAGGCTCCCGGGGGTGCTGAACACTGCTGGTGGAGAGTCTCTCTTTGAGCCACAGGGCTAGAAAAAGGGCGGCACCTTCCTCCTTTGAGGTGCTATGCTCATAACCAGTGTTCAATAAGTGCTTGTTAATGGTGCCGATAGGTAAATACTCGTCCTTTCCATTTGTACACGGAGCTCACAGACGATTATCCAGGGAAGTGTTGTTAACAGTAGCAATAATTATAACCAGCATTAATCTCCCGTCGCTCACTGCCACAACAATCCTGTGGGCTGGGTACTATTACCCACGTTTTATGATTGAGGAGGATGAGGCTGAAGAAGCCAAGAAGGAGATTTCTCAAGATTCTATGTCTTATGGACAGCAGAGCCGGGCTTCAGCCAGGTCTGTTTGATAACAAAGCCTGGGAGGCAAAAAGCAGGCTCTCTGAGATCGCTCAGCTGGAGAGCCAAGCACATAAACAGCAATAAAACGTAATGCATGTCCTTTTAACACCATGGCAACAACAGTGTTTTAAGAAGGCAAACAGCTGATGCTTGCTATGACCACACCCCTTTCTTTCCCTGGAAAACTAGAATGCTTTATAAAGGTTTTCACGTATACATTTAGAGAAATGGAAATTTTGTGAAAAGAATGGTTGTGAAGCTAATGACAAAACACAAATGTATCAATACCCCATCACAGGAAATAAAAAAATTTAAAAATTCAAGGAGAATTATTGACCTCTTCATGTCTTACACACCCTATTCTGTGAATATTAAAACGGTATTTTTTTCTGAAGATGGTAAAATGTTCCCTATGCTCAGCCCCCAATGGTTTCTAGTACACAGAATGTGTTCGATAAATATGTGTTGAACGAATGAACAAACAACCGAAATATGATCGTAGGGACTTTTCCTCAGTCATTTATAAGGTTTCCCAGCCGTCATTGTGACCCGTCTTTCCATCTTCTGAAACAACCTTCGAGAGGTAAATCAGAACATCAGAAAGGAAGTCACTTTTCTAAAATAAGCAGGGGGTAACATATGACACTGATTAGCTCAAAGAGGAAGCCTGAAAAGGTAGGGGATGATGTGACTTGATGAAACAAGCAGGTGGGTGGAGAGTCGGCCAAATCTTACCAGCCCGGTTCTTAAGAGATGCCGCCTTATCCTTGTGTTGTTAAAATATCCAGCCAGGTGTTTATCCGTAAGGCTATTATACGCTGCAAGTGACCTGAAATAGAAAAATAAAACCAAGACTTGGTGGAGGGTTGTTTGATAACCAAGGCAACCCTTGACATTCTTATCCCCACACAGTGCATAATCATTCATGTATCCAGGCTGCCCATCGTGTATGCATGCGTTTAATAAGCATGCATGGAGCACCTACTGTTTTCCAGGTCTTGGGATACGGACTGAGAGACGGTCCTGACTCTGGTTCTCTCACAGAGAAATACGGAAGTCAGACATGAACAAGTAAATTGGGTGGGAAAAGTCCAACAATGGAGATATGCACAAAGTTGCGGCAACACAGAGACGGACTGACAGCCTCTGGGGTCAGAAAAGGCCTCACAGAGGCATGGGGGGAACGTAGAGCCCACTTCGGTGGACGCATCTGCTCTCCCTGCAGTCCTGAACTCAAGCAAAGAAACTAAACTAAGCTTGGCTGGCCACTCAAGCTTACCTCCTCTCTCGTGGCCAGAAGGCAGCGCGGCCCCTCCACAGAGAAGGCCCTTTGCTCCCCTGTCAGCCGTGGACAAAACCCGGGGCACACAAGCCCCTCTTGGCCCAGGAAACACTCTCTGGCGCGCACTGCATGTGCTGTGTGCCCTCTGCTTCCCGCCCATAAGACCCTGAGTTATAGCTGGGCTCGGTGGCTCAGCCTGTCATCCCATGCCTTTGGGAGGCTGAGGTGAGTGGATTGCCTGAGCCCGCGGGTTCGAGACCTGCCTGGGCAGCAAGACCTCATCTCTACAATAAATCAAAAAATCAGCCGGGCGTGGTAGCACATGCCTGTAATTCCAGCTACTCGGAAGGCTGAGGCGGAAGGATTGCCGGAGCCCAGCAGGTGAGGCTGCGGTGGCCGGGAGCGGCCACTGCACTCCAGTCTGGGCGACAGAGTGAGACTCCAACTCAGAAAAAAACCCTGACTTACATTTCACATCATGTGGTATGTCATTGTCTGTTTCTTGGTCTCCTCTGATAGATTTGAAGCCCAGGCTGGTACGTTACTTTTAGTAACCCTACTGGTGTTATTTGTTGTGTATCTAAATAATCACGTGTTCAGTAAATAAGGACATAATTTTGTTTGGGACTTATTTTTACCAGCTTGAGTTTCCAACTAAATTTGAATACAGCATTTTTGAAGTGTTAACTTCCTCATTAAGTTTCATTACTCCCACCTCCAGTAAAAAAAAAAAACAAAACCCAAAATTCATAGATCACTTTTGATTTTTAGGGGCATTTATTTTGAGTTCAAAGAGGACAAGCTGGTTCCTTGATTACATGCTATACTTCAGTAGATGATCCATCTAGGTCTATATGTCAAAGCTGAGTGCTATTTTCTGTTTTAATCTATCCTTTATTAATTATTCTGTACCTTACAAAAACATTTTTACACACATATATGCACGCACATTCATATATAGACATGTACAAGATGTTAGTATATATGGCGTCCCCCTTCCTCCACAGGAACTATGTTCTGAGACCAGTGGATGCCTGAAACTGCAGATGGTACCAAACCCCACAAGTATTCTTTTTCTTCAATCTGTTATCCCAGACAGCTACTAAGTGATGAAGGGTGGGTAGCGTGTCCATCATGATACCCTGGACAAAGACATGACTCATGTCCCGACAGGATGCAGTGAGATGGCATGAGGTTTGATCAGGTTACTCAGGACAGCATGCAACCTAAAACCTGTAAACGGTTTATGGCTGGAATTTTCCACTTAATGTTTTTGGACGATGGTTGACATGGATAAGAAACCACAGAAAGTGCAACCATACATTAAGAGGGACAGCTGAATGTGTGATTAGAGGGGGGGGGACAGCAGGGAGAGACAGAGAGAGAGAACAAGAAAGCCTCAACACAGCCCTATTGGAAAGCTGCCTTTAAAGAAGTGCATATCCTGTTACCTGCAGTCAAGATTTACAACCTGTACATTTTATGAGCATCTGATCCTTAGCTTATTCCAAGACCAGAGCTGAGCCTCATATTATAGCATCAAGTAAATGTCATTAGCAACAACTTGACGTAGCTGTTTGCACTGCCTGATTTACATGGAAGTGGCACTGGGGAACTTTTCCTGTCTCCTTTCTCCTTCACGGCCCACCGCAGGAAAGTTCTATCCTGTCAAATCGCAAGAAAAGTTTAATTTTGTCCACAAAAGGGACTGAAAAGAAGTTGCAAAGCTTAGAAGCCAAGGTGCCGCATGAGGGTTGCAGACATGTGAACAACTGCAGAAACCATTATTTCGCTGGGTTTATGTAAAAAGACAATCCAAGAGCTTCAGCAAGGCACACAGAAAACGAGCTCTGGGTAACGCTTTGAAACCATCTTTGAAATGAACTGTCTTGGCGTCCTATAGTTCATCAAAGGTTTCCTGTCTCCAAAAGGTCAACATTGTACACCTTACCCTTTCTAAATCTCAGAATCTCTTTTCCGCTCCTCATTTCAGAAAGGTGAGCAGGTGCCTCTCAGTCCTAACAACCATGATTCCACAGTTCACAGATTCTTAAGATAAATCATCAGAGTGATATCCGATATCTTCCTTTGTCTGCTTCCCAGGCTCAAGTTTAAAAAAAAAAAAATCCGTCGTTTTGGAATAGCTGGGAGTGCTAAAACCTTGATTAAATGAAGTGGGGTCAAAAAGTTCTGATAGTATAAACCTCAACTCCTCTATTGACTGAGAAAATATCCCCTTCTTTAAACTCAGGCTTTGTGGCTTCTTTAATGCTGAGGTCCTAATAGTAATGCCTGGCCGTCTTTGGCACCTCCTAATTTTAATGCTGCTCTCTCTGTTCCTACTAAATGAAGTCATGTGTATGACGCCCCTCCAGTCTCATTGAGAGGTCAAGTAGGCCTCCAGCTGGATGCCACTCCTAAGGCAACTTCCTGCAAAATTCTCATCACACAGCCAGCCTTGGTAGGAGAGCTGAAGCCCAACCAGCAGGGTGCATCCAGGCTCAGTTATTTCCCTTTCAGACAATGCCTGACTTTCTTTTAAACTAAAACTTTAGATGAAGAAATTGTTTGATAAGGAAAATTGCACTAAGGTATATGCACGGATTTGGTAAAATGGTCAAGTGTAAGCGTGTCCACGGTATACATGTAAATGTCACCCTCTGCCTGGCCACCAAGACTTCTCTCCAGGGAGATGGTCACATCCTGCGTGGGCCCGTGTCTCAGTCACACCTGGGCAGCCAATTCTGTCTGCTCCCGTCTTCCTCACATGTGCTCAGTGTGGGCTTGGAGCGGCTCTTCAGCATTTACTCAATTACAAGAGCTTTGCTGACCAACACAGATGTAGGTACATGGTTGAGCTTTTCTGACGTGCCTGTTTTTGTCCTCTGCACTCATGGCCACTAATCCCATCCCCACCTTTTCTTTTCTTTTGTTTGCATGTGGCATAACCCCAGGCCAGATAAGGTGACCTTGCTCTGGGCTTGGTGACTGTACTGCCCCTTGAACACACCATTCCTTTTGTGTGCTGCTCTCTGCATCCATTGTCAAAGCTGGACTTCCCGGTCACGTTGCCTCAGCCCCAGGATCCACCCCACTCCCTGCCCATCAACGACTCTGTTGATCACAGAGGCCCCTGGGCCACTGTGACCATGTTACTCACAAGCCACAGTGTTCACGCTGGGCCCCACAACTCGCTGGGCAGACAGGTCTGGCGTGTTTGCTTCTTGATATGTGGACAAGACTATTTACCCAGCCCCGGGTCACCAGGTGGGGAAAACCCACTTTCCGGCTCAAGGCACCGGGGAAATCAGTCCCCTAGGAAACAAAGCAGCCCTGCCCCTAGGCTGGCTCCAGTTTCTCCCACGTGCAGACACACCCCGCATCCCTGGGGCCTGAGGACCAAAGCTGCCAATGCTGAGTCACTGGGGGAGCCGCCTTCCCAGCTAAGCTTCTCAGCACTTAACACTCAAACCCCTGCCTCTCTCCACAGAGAATGTATGGGCGGGACTCTGCAGTGAGAGGTCAACGACGCCTATCAACCCCTCTGCCTGTCCCCAAGGAGAGACCATCTGTCCCATAAAAACCCCAGCTCTCCACAAGAGGAGATGCACTGTCATAGTTATTCTGCACAAATACTTATTGGGTACGGACTATATCTCGGTCCTTCTGGAAGGAGGCGCTGGGGACACAGAGATGACACAGACACTGCACTCACAGAGCTCACAGTTTGGTGGGGAGATACACATATATGGACTGTGTGTGTGTGTGTGTGTGTGTGTGTGACTTGACTTCTTTCTGTATCATAAGCTAATGCATTCACAGTTACAGTAAGTCCCCTACATACAAACAAGCACCATCCTGAGAGCACATTCATAAGTCCAATTTGTTCCTAAGTTCAACACAGTCAGCCTAGGTTCCCAACTGACACAATCAGCTGTATCGTACTGTGCTGTAACAGGCCTATAATACTTTTCACACAAATAACACGTAAAAAACAAACACAAAAAATAGAAGGCCAGGCGCGGTGGCTCAAGTCTGTCATCCCAGCACTTTGGGAGGTCGAGGTGAGAGGATTGCCTGAGCCCCGCAGGTTCAAGACCAGCCTGGGCAACATGGTGAGACCTCGTCTCCACAATAAATAAAAAAATCACCCGGGCGTAGTAGCACACGTAGTAGCCTGTAGTTCCGGCTACTTGGAAGGCTGAGGTCGAGACTGCGGTGGCCGGGAGCGTGCCACTGCACTCCAGCCTGGGCGACACAGAGTGAGACTCCAACTCAAAAAAATAAAAATAAAAATAAAACAATAGGGAGAACATTTTTAATCTTGCAGTACAGTGCCTTGAAAAGTACAGCAGTATGGTACAGCACAACGCCTGTCACACCGGGGCTGGCGTGGAGTGAACAGGTCAGAAGAGTTCACTACTGGAGGAGGGAGAGGGAGCGGGGAGATGGCAGAGCTGAAGGATTGTCAGCAACAGGAGACAGAGGGCCAGCTTCCATGCCACTCACGTGCAATGCATGCCAGACACACGCACTAACCTACACGATTGGACCTGAGAACGCATGATCGCATCTTTGAAAGTTCGCAAGATGAAGGCGGGTATGGAGGGGACTTACTGTACTGAGTGTCTCCACGTCAGACACTGCCCTGAGCTGGAGAAGGAGCGTGACATCCACACCCCATTCTGCAGATGACAAAGCTCTTCCACGTACACAGTCTCATTTGATGTCCTTTAGGCCCTTGGGATGTGAACAATAGCTAACCATTACGGACCTTTTATCTCTCTGAAATGCAAAAGCTCCAACACAAATCATTGCTTAACGTGAGTCCGTTCTAGCAACACCCAAGGTCACATTTCTTCACAGATCACACCCATGCTGACAGAGTCATTTCTTCTCGCCTACATACCCTTCAGCCCACACCTCCCCTTCCCACACTGCCCCTCCCCACACCCTCTGCCCCCGGGGACAGAAAGGGACATAGCAGTTATGACTCCCACACCAGCTCCATCCTGGCTCCACCATAACTGGGAGCCAGTGACTTAGAGCCCCTCTGTGTCAGTTGTTCTAAAACACTAGGGTGTGAACAAGAGTCAGCCAAGTTCACTGCCAATTTGAAGCGAGGATCGCCTCTCCTACAGCTCCAGACGGCATGTTCCTTCTTTCCACGTGCAGCCTCATCAGAATGACGCGATTGTGCATATTTCCGCCAACACTCTGTACAAGAAGGTTTATATGTCTTCCAAGAAGATGGAGTTTTTTTTCCTCTTTGCTTTCTGAGCCCTCACCAGGACTGCCCGTTAAACATTTTTCCACGGCAATGTAGGCTTTTCCCAGCATGCCCCTCAAAACTCTTCAGCCTTTACCCACGATGAACACTTTCTTTCTTTGGAATCCCAACTGACTCCCACCTCAGGATGGCTTGGGGCACCCCCTTGTGGGAATTCTCCTGACACCACTTTTGGGGCAACTCCAGCCACAGATTCAGTGGGATACAGGGTCATCACATGGTGGAAGGTTTGGAGGGGCTTGAGCACAAGAGGGCAAGCCCGCTCCCGTGGGCTTCACTCAGGGTCCGATTCTAATTCTATCCCTTGCAAGATACACGGCCGGGGAGAATCCAGTCTTCTCTAGCAATGGCCATGAAGGAAAGCGCTGGGACTACTTCTTAAAGAGGGTGGTCATACTGGTCTGGAAGTAGATTTACTTAAAGCTACTACATCACTGGATTGTAGAAATTCACATATGGAAATGACCACACGGGATCTAGTCTACTCCCTCAGTTTATAATCCGCAAACCGAGGTTCTACTAGGCATGTCTACCAATAAACAAATCAAAGGCCTCAAAAAGAAGATGCCCGAATGTCATGGATTCCTCCAAGAATTGTACCTGTCCCTTTCCTAGAGTTCTTGCCTCACCCCCTCATGCCATAATTTCTCATCCACAGTTAATCACCCTCTTTAGATTTATGTAAGATTCTTCCCTGTATCCCTCCTATAAGGTGCAGTATGGAGCCACACACATGGGAAGCTATTGCAAACTTAGACAATATCTGTTGAGCAAATGAATGAATCAGTTAATAGACAAAGCATTTTGACCCAATTCCTTGTTATGTATTCTTTTTTAAAAATCCACGTGTAAGGACAAAAACACTGTCTTTTCTTCTATAAGACAATAAATGGAAGTAGTCTATGACAAAAGAGGTTTAAAAGCATGTTTTATGCATTTTGGCTTTTTAAAAATGCAGCAGTCTCCACATGAATGATCATACTAACACTTTAAGTTTTGTTTTTTCTTTTTTGTTTTTTGTTTTTGACCCAATGGTGCCTTTGCAGTGTGTTAGAAATTGCATCAGATTAAAAAAGTTCCAGAAAGGTGGGAAAAAAATAGCCCCTTGAGGAAACTTGAAGAAAGACAAATATAGAAGAACAATTGACACGAGGGTCAATTATTTTCCAATCCTTTCTAAGAAAACTCTTTGCCAACTAAAATTAGACCATGAGTCTCTGCAGCCTGCCACTTTATAGGGGGTGATTGAACTGATACCATATAAATGATTTTATATTACATTCTTCATTCTTTTTTATTTGCATCCAGACCTGCCAGATCTCAGCAATTATGCTAAATATCGATTTACAATTTCTCTCAGCTTATTCTCACAATGCAGCCAGATAAGAACCGTAATATTATTTCATTGATAGCCTGAATATGGTGGTTTGAATCGACTAGTGGAAACAAGACGGGTCTCCCACTGTGCTGACCGCTGGCAAGACAGCTTGGCCATGAGCACAGACAGGGCCACGGGTGGCGGGGGGGAGGTCAGCAGGCCTGGGAACGCGGGGCCTGACCCGCGGCTTTCGAGGCATGGGGTGCTCCTCCACACCCTTCTCTGTCGAGGTTTACACATCTGAACAGAAAGAAATGCAGCCCCTGAAAAATACATGCATTAAAGGAAAAACGGGATCCAGATGGAGAGAGATGATAAAGTTGTTCAGAGGAAAGATAGCCAAGAGGGCAAGTTCTGGAGCCCAATAATTTTCATCGCTAGCATTAACTGAGCACTTCCTTAAGGGTTTGCAGTGCCTTGAGTAAACGCTCTATATAGCATGCTCTGCATATTTTAATTCTCCCAACAATCCTGTGAAGTCCTATTCTCTCCCCTCTTCATAGATGAGTAAATTGAGGTATAGACTGGTTAGACAACTGATTCATAACTAGTTAAAGGTAGAGCCAGAATTCAAACCAGACTTTTCAACTTAATCACAAAATTGAGTCGGGTTCTACATGGTGTCAACAACAGCCATGGAGTGCTCACCCTAGAAGCGAAGTATGGAAGCGCCAGACAAGTGAGCGGATGACTCGTGGACGGCACTGACAAGTCAGGATCATACAAGGCAACAAGTGAAGACCCAGGGAGGACGTGGAAAAAAGGAGAGTTGCTTACAAATCACAAGGGTGGCCGTCACGCAAGGTGCCTGTGCTCCTGGGTCAGTGGCTTTAAGCAGGAAAATGGCATGGTCAGGTTAGCCCAAGTCCAGTTATTTATTTGTCTGTTTACTTATTTTATTCCTTTGAGTCAGGGGTCTCACTCTGTCACCCAGGCTGGAGTACAGTGGCACCATCACAGCTCACCACAGCCTCTACCCTCTGGATGATCTTTCTGCCTCAGTCTCCTCAATGACTGGGAGTGAAGCACCACACTTGGCTTAATTGTTGATGCTTTGTAGAGATGAGGTCTCACTCTGTTACCCAGGCTGATCTCTAAGTCCTGGGTTCAATAACCCTCTTGCCTCAGCCCCCCAAAGTGCTGGAATTATAGGTACCAGCCACCGTGTCCTGCCCTAAATCTTTTTTTTTTTTTGGCGGGGGGAGCTGGCAGAATTAGCTGAGGCTTTACTGTGTGGTGGGGGGAGACAAACACAATTGAATTTGTTTTTAATTGGAAGCATGGGCAAGAGGAGACACCCCAGGCAGTAAACATCCCCCAGGGCTGAGTCTCAGGTGGGGGTCCCATGCCTAGGCACCCCCTCCTGCAGGGCCACCACCCCACAGACTTGGGGCAGCCACAAGAGGGGGCAGGCTGGAAGAGGCCACAGTGGCCGGTCACTTGGGCAGGGCGTGAGAGGCCTCAGACACCAGCTTCCCGTGGCGGGTCTCGATCTTCTCCACCACGGCCCTGGAGAAGCCGGTGCAGCTGATGGGGCGGGAGTCCCCCTCGAGCTAAAGCCGTAGCTGAGGCCGGAGCCATAGCTGAGCTCAGCTGCTGAGAAGCCCCCGGGGGTCTTGGTACGGATGCTTATGTTCCCCATGCCTGCCCTCAGCAGCCTCCTGTCCCTCCCTCAGCCTCCACCAGGGAGTTCTCCGGTCCAGGGCCCTCTTGACCATCACAAGCACCTGGACTCACAGAGCAGCCATACCATGACCTGCCTGGCCTGCAGCAGGGTGGCCTCTAGCTCAGCCGGATTGACGTCCTCAACAGCCATCTCCCCGCGCTGCCCTGCATCCATGGGGGCGGCCTCCAGGGAGGCCCTCTGGCCTTTGAGACCCTCCATCTCAGCCTGGAGCCGGCTGATGACCAGTTCATCTTGGAGATCTCCATCTTGGCACGGGGCAGGCCGTCCCCACGCTGCCCGACCAATGTCCTGCAGCTCCTCGTGCTGGTTCTGGTCCATGCTGTCGGCCTCCACCCAGTTGCGATTGGTGACCTCCTCATCCTGGGCATGGACCTCTCCAGGATGCCGTCCATGTCCAGTGAGCGCCATTGTCCATGAACGGGACCACAGACGTGTTTGAGGTCTGAGGTCCAGCGCTCACAGCTCTCCTCCTCATTCAGCTGCCTGAGGGAGTGGATTGGTCAGTCACCCCCCCAGGTGAGATCCAGCTCCACTTTGTCCACAGAAGCTTCATCCACATCCCCCCGGATGAGGGCAAATTCATCTTCCGTCGCTGTGGCTTGTTGATCTCCTCCTGCACTTGTTCCTGGAGGCCTCCAGCAGGCCGCGCGTGTCATCCAGCTCTGCCTCCAGCTTCAGCCTCTCCTGGTTCAGGAGTCCAGCTGCCACCGGAGGTTGTGGATGGACTTCTCCATCATGCCGTCTGTGTTGCTGCTGCCGTCCTCTGCAGCTGTAGAAGGCTCCCTTGGTCTCCAGCATCTTGTTCGACCGCACCTTGTCAATGGAGGAAGAAACTCGCCAAGGGTCTTGCCCTGCTCCCTCTCCTGGGTACGCACACCTCCAGCTTAAGGGAACTCAGCAGACTCCGGCTCACCGTGATGGCTGGGACGCCACCGCCTTCAGCCCAGCCTTTGCCCAGGCCCATGCTGGCGCCCAGGCCACCCCAGCAGACAAGGGTGCCAGGCCCTCTCACGTAGGAGCCGCTGCTGAAGGCCCAGGGGCCGGAGGGGGACATCTTGTAGGACTTCCGGGTCACCCTGATGGACATGGTGAAGGCTGATGTGGAGGCTGGCAGGCCGAACCAGGTGGAAGGTGGAGAAGGAGCCGACAAGCTGCTTCGAGATTGCCCTAAAGCTCCTTAAAACCAGAATCCTCCCACGGTGCCCTGAGCAGGCAGAGTCTAGTGGCTGAGGGTCCGCTGGCTCCACTGAGAAGTTCTCGTTAGGTTACGTAGTAAAGGAGAGACCAGGGGTAAGCTCCTTGGCCTCTCTGGGCCTCAAGCCCTCCTCTGAAGATGGAAATAACAAGAGAGCTTCCTGAGAAAGTCCTAGAGGGCTGAGTGAGTCAATATGTGCACACCGCTTAGCAACACACCTTGCACGCCATGTCGATTCAGTGAATGTCAGAAGTTATGGCTGAGTATATGCCTCCTCTCTCATCACAAATTCATAACCAAACCGGCATAATACTCTACAGGGGAAACTAACTATTCCCTAAAGACGTCCCCCATGAATAACTTCTCCCTAAATTGAACCTCTCCCAATGGCGGGAAAATCTTCCTTAGAAGAGGCTACACATAACAACTATTTTCCCTACCTGTTCCTCAAAGAGTGGTTAGTTGATCCTTATTGTCTTTTTTTTTTTTTTGAGTTGGAGTCTCACTCTGTCACCCAGACTGGAGTACAGTGGCTGCTCCCAGTCACTGCAGCCTCGACCCGCTGGACTCTGGTGATCCTTCCGCCTCAGCCTTCCGAGTGCCAGAATTACAGGCACACGCTACCATGCCCAGCTGATTTTTTTATTTATTGTAGAGATGAGGTCTTGCCAAGTTGCCCGGGTGGGTCTCGAACCCGCGGACTCAGGCAATCCACTCACCTCAGCCTCCCAAAGTGTGGGATCACAGGCTGAGCCACCGAGTCCGGCTGATCCTTATTATCTTAGCAAGAGGCTGGCATAAATCCAGGCCCCATCTTCTTAGGGACAGAAAGTCAAGGTTCCTTATTATCATCTCTCTAGACTATAAACTCCACGAGGGCGTCCTCTTGATTCTTTGCACGGGAACCTCGTGTTCCAGGTACAGAGAACAGTGTCTGGATGGTATTTTTGAATCTACAGATACATAAATATTGTTACAGTGATCTTTTTTGTAGATCTCAAACTCGTTTCTAGTTGTCAGTACTCATTTTAGAGTGAGTTAGTCAGATAATCACAGTTTTTTCTAGAGAGACTCTTCCAAACCTTTATGTTCTTCTCCTTATAAGTTCTGATAACCAGAGCTGGCCTCAGCAAAAGAGATAACCAGGTAAAGGGTGCCTCACACACTCCCCACTGCCCGCCCTGTGACCCTCCTCTTCTGGCTCCTAAGTGACAAAGCTCCAGAGCATAGGAACTCTCGGGCACTGTCAAGTTCTTCCTCTTCCGTTTCTCCTCCTCCCTGCCTCCCGGCTTCCTTGCGGCTTTCCATCCTAGGGGCTCTCAGGAAAGCTGTCCCCAGCACTGTTCAGAACACATGCAGTTTGGGGCTCAAGATGTTTATCAGAGAGCAGCACCTGGGAAAGAAGAGGGAGGCGGCAGTTTGGGCAGAGGGAGAAGTCAGACCGCAGGCAGACCAAGAAGAGCTTCGGCCCCCACAGCAGGCAACCCGAAAGCAAGTCCCGCCCCTTCGAGTGGTCCAGCATTGGTCTAAGACCGCCAGGCCTCCGTACGCATCCATGCCAGCCCCCAGTAAGGGCAGCCCAGGAAGGCACAAGCTCTGACGATGAGATACTAAGAATCAGAAACCCAAGTCAAAGAAATGACTTTGGGGAGCGGGACATGCTGTCTGAAATTCAATATCTCTCCATTTCATAAGATCCTGATTGCTTTGACCACACCTGTCGAAGGTATGATAACAAATATCACTAAGAAGTACAAGATACTGCTACCCAGCCAGCTCATAGCTGATTTGCATCCGTGAATTCTAATTTTTCCTTGCTTGTAATCCAGTCCGAAATTTTCTTTGGTAACTTTCATTCAATTTGCTTCTAAGCAGAATCCAAGTTTACTAAAAGAATTTTGAGGATTGATTCTGCGTCCATAACTCCTAAAGTTAGTTTTACCCTAATATTCAGCCCTTCTGCTAGCTTCAGGTCAAGGGTAAGCACAATAAAACAACTCCAGGTCTAGAGCCAATCTGCCAACAGACAATCAACAAACACCTGATGGGTCAATTCTACCAGCCATTGTGCAGAAAACAATGCTGTAGAGGTCATATTTTCTAAATGTATTACTGGGCATACGAGGAAAATAAAAATTGTCCTAAAGAGTTTCATTCTAACGTCTGTCATTTTCTTCCACCAGAACTTAGGTTAGCTTTGTAAGAGCTGGTTCTTTTAAAGAGTCATGCTTGCTGGGCTCGGTGGCTCAGCCTGTCATCCCAGCACTTTGGGAGGCTGAGGCGAGTGGATCGCCTGAGCCCGTGGGTTTGAGACAAGCCCGGGCAACTTGGCGAGACCTCATCTCTACAATAAATCAAAAATTAGCTGGGCGTGGTGATGTGCACCTATAGTTCCAGTTACTTGGAAGGCTGAGGCGGAAGGATCATCGGAGCCCAGCAGGTCAAGGCTGGGGTGGCTGTGAGTGTGCCGCTGCCCTCCAGCCTGGAGAGAGAGTGAGACTTCAACTCAAAAAAAAAAAAAAAATGCCATGCTATTTCCATCATTTTTGAGACCATATGACTAGTGTGTCGTTCACTCATCCTCACCCTCTGGAATCAGAGAGATCTCACTTCAAATCTTCTCTCGCCACTTCTACTCAATGAGTCTCAACAAGTTGTTTAATGACTATTAAGCTCAGCTTCCTCATATGTAAAAGCATAGAATAATGGTGCCTATGTCCTAGAGTTTCTATCGCGGTAAGTAAGGCGATGCAGTTGAGAGCTTAGAACCGTGCATGGCACTGTGAGTCGCTACAGTGTTCGTTGCAACGTTTTATCCTTAAATGAGCCACATAGACATTTGCCTGTGCTCTGAAAGAGGAAATGGTACCATGTTTTAGAATCACCCTAGAACCACATCAAGGAGACACGGGAGCAGGGGAGTGATTTAAGCAAGCAAAAATGAAGTCTGAGCCAGGAAGGAAACTGAATAAGCACTACGCCATCTGAGGAGGAGCCGAGGGAACTTAGATCAGCATTGCTCCAGGAAGAAGGACCGGGTGTACAGAGGCCCCGAGGTGAGAGAGCGCCTCGTCCCTGTCTTTATACTTCCTCCCGCTAGAACCTCCTCCTGCCACAGGTGGAAACCTGGTCTCCACCACCATTGCACACACACGTGTGTGTATCTGTGCACACACAAACACACGTCCCAGAGCCACCCCTGGAAGCATGGAGGAACACTGGCATGTTTCAAAGGCCAGAGGATAAAACTGAGGGGAGGCGGTTAGTCAGCATGCTGCCAGACACAAAGGAGATTGGTACCTTTTTGTAGGCAACAAACTCAGGGTGCTTGCTGGCTTTGTGCCATCCCAAAGGTTACACAGTTGTATACACATAGTCCCCGCCCTCAAGGGACAGTCCAACCAAGGAAATAAAGGCAGAACGGTCAGATGTGGGAGAATCAAAAATCTTGAAAGCTGCCACGTATTGTGCCGGGTATGCAGGACCTCATGTAGTCTTCTAAACATGCATCGTGTTAGGATCCCACTAACAAATGAGCGAGCGAGGCCCACACTTGGGCTAGTGAAGAAGAACTGGAATCTGCACTGGGTCCTCCAGGACAATTCAAGGACCGAGGGAGGAGCCAAACATGGGTGGATGATGCTGGGCCGGAGGTGCCCTTGGACTTGTCCTAGGAAGTAAGATCATCACGAACAAAGTCCAAGGGACAGACCATGGGTTTCTGGTCCCCAAGTAGGACTCTGAATTATTTACCATGAAGATAATATTGCAAAAGGGAGTTGAGTTCCACAGCATCATTAGACTGTTAATTAAAGCAGTTATATATGTCAAGTATATTTTAGCGGGCTATGTTGGCTTAGAAACCTGACAGTCTTTATTTATACTTGATCCTGGAATGCAGATAAGATACAGATAGCCCACTTAAGCATTTTAACTACCAAATACATGTGGGTGCACACATTCACAGACACACAGCCACATCTATATCCACGTGCTTTCCGGATGTATATCCGATGTTCAGTCCCTTTCCGGTCTTTGGATATTTCCACAAATGCCCGTGAATGGTAGCTAACAGTTCTCAGCAATTCCCAGTCGTTTTCTGTGTTACTTTCCATAGCGTCCATCCATCTAAATAAAACTTGGCAAATTAAAATAAATCCCTCACATATTCATTTCAAAATAAAACAACAGTACTGTGTCAATGTCCAATAAG